ACAGCGGCGTGGTTATTAAATTTTGTATTGGGCGAATAAAGAAATGTCAGGTTAGGCTGCTTTTCATGATCAAAATAAAGTTTGTTCACAAATGTTTTCTTATAGATTATCAACCGGTAATAAGATATGGCCATTCTACTGTTAGAGTAGGAGACTACTTATACATGTGGGGTGGGAGCCAGCCTGATGACTTAGATCTTGATTTACAACTAAACCCAGCCCAGCCTTCTTCCCAGCCACAATCTTTCGACAATAAATTTGTTTTGGTCTATCACTTGCCAACTAGTCTGGCGCCGCGAGACTACTTGCCAACTGGCAAATGGGAGCAAAAAGCTACTACTGGTAAGCTCCCACCTGGGAGTACGGGATATGCATCTGCAGTTATTGGAAAAGAGATCTTCTATTTTGGAGGCTGTTGCAATCACATCGACTGCTTTCCTCGCTGTTTCCACAATAGTTTGTATGGCCTTAATGTTGACACCCTAAAGTGGAGGGAAGTTTCTCCCAATACTTCTCAATCTGGCCCCATGATGAAGGAATCTGCTGGTATGATAGCTGTACAAGTTGATGAAGAAGATTACCTTGTAGTGTTTGGGGGTCACGGACCATCTTCTGAAAATACTCCAGCACAGCCAAATGCTCAGTACAGCACAGAAGGATTCAACATTGAAAATATGCAATGTACTAATGAATTACATTACTACAGGATATTGACAGGTGAATTATATACATAAAATAATTATTGTGCACAACTGCACATTATGTTACTGATTTTAGGGGAATGGATTTCTCCAGATATTACTGGAGACAGACCACCTCCTATTACTGGCTTCACTCTGACGTCAGTAAATGATAGCAGTGCCATATTATTTGGAGGCTTTTCTCCCACTGCTGACTATAAAGTCAGTGACAAACTGTACGTCATGGTTTTTAATAAAGAACAACTGTCTTTGGTAAGACTACACATAACCAAAACAATAATGCTGTAACTATACACATGTATAGGAGATATCAGAAGTTCCTAATTCTTTGCAAAATTGGCCATGTGCAAGATCTGCTCATTCAAGCGCACTTATTAACGTTGATTCAATTGGACCACACCTTTTAGTAGTAGGTGGATTTGAAATTTCTGATTGCTGGCTACTTGATGTGACTAATAAAATTTGGGATGAGGTAACTAACTAAAATAATGTTTGAAGCAACAATCATAACTACTAGGTCAGCCTACCGAAATTAGTTGCTGATAGATATTATCATTCCCTCTCGGTGTGGAGCGTGACTCCAAACACTAGTTGGGTATTTGAGCTTGGAGGACACAGTGCATTATCAACTATGTCTGTTATTGAATGCAGTAAGCTAGTGTTTTATTTAGTAACAGTAGAGAGAGATTAAGTAGAGAGAGGGTGCAGTATTCAAGTTACTGCCCATTGTTACTGTAGTGTAAACTGTATTGTAAAAATTGGTGATAATTTTGTTGTTTTTTATCATACTATAGCACATACGATGATTAGCAAATGGTCTTTTGATGTAGTTCCATTTAATCTCTACACAAATAAATTACAAGAGAGAATACTAGAAATGGCTGATCATTATCATTTGGAGGACTGTAGCGCTGAGGAACAAAGTCAACCACAGAACAATGAGAAATTTCAACAACTACCAGAAAAGCAAGAAAGTCAACTAAGGGAAGTTGAATTGCAGCTTGAATATCTTCAAAAAATGGTTCAGAAAACACAAGAAGAGCTTGAAGCAAGTGAGCAAGAGCTTAAAAAGCTTAACCTTGAAGAAATAAAGAAGAAAGCAATGATAGAGCTTCTTCAGAATTCTTTGCAGAATCAATGGAATCAACAGCATGATCCAAGTTTCAGAAAGCAATTAGCATCTTTCTTCAGTTTTAATCAGAAAAAAAAGAATTATGGTGTCAAAATTGAAGAATTAGATTTAATTGTAGAGAAAGCAATAGACAAAATTCTAACAGAAGATGGGCATGTAAGCTGTAAATTATTTTAAATTGATATAACATTTCAATTGATAGCTAATGCCTGAAGTCAAAAGTTGCAGAGAAGTAGCTGTCCAGTGTGATTACCTCATTCGTCAGACAGGTATATAAATGTGCAAGTTTTAGTTATTATGAAAATTAATGATTCCCTAATTTTTCAGACTTGTTTGACTCTAGTGTCACTATAGCCGGAAAGAAGCTATTTGATCTAAACGAAAATAGCTCCTCATTCTATTGGGAGGAGTTTGGATTCAAACTACAGTGTCCTCGTGGAGCAGTGTCTGAGGATACTGAAGTAGCTGTTACAGCGATAGTAAAAGGTTGTTTTGACCTTCCCAAAGGTACTGTGCTAGTCAGCGCAGTATATGCAATAT